GCATGTGTGTGTTCAGATATTTGATTTTATTACTTTAAAAACAGTGTAAATATTTTCTTCAATCCTCTTTACTAAGTAAACTGTTCAAAGTCTTGTGGTGAAATTAGTACAAAACTTAATTCAAAACTAGAAATATTTAAATCATTTCAAGAATATAAAAAATGTAAAGATATATTGTTCAATCTAACTCAATAATCTTAACGTGTAGAATAAATATCTCTAATCCAATTATTAAGTAAAATATCACTTAAGATAAGGAGCAGTACAATTTAGTCACTAATAATTTAGTGGTTTAATAATAATTAAGTCCAAGTAAGTTAGAATTTATTTATAATTCAATTAAGCAACACGTTATATGTAATGCGATCGTATTTGATTCAAAAGGAAAGATCATGGTTTCAACAGGTAGAAATGCTATTATTAAAATTTGGAACTTCAATAATGGAATAATCAAACAAACTCATCCACTTCTTTGAAATTAAGTGATCTGTCTAGTCCATAGCTAAATTAACAATTATTTTTTTTCTGGATCTTCAGATGGTTCAATTATTATGTGGAAATATTATGATAATAATGAATGGAAAAGATCTAAACCATAGAATAAACATAAAAAACGTATTTATTGCGTAATCTTAACAGAAAATGAGAATTAATTAATATCGTGTAGTGATGATAGTTCAATTAAAGTATGGACGGTAGATTTTAATAATCATGAATCAAATTTTTTATATTCTTTAGATAAACATACAGGGTCGGTTTATTCTTTAAGCTTAAATTAATCATTGCAACTAATATAATTAATCAATATAAGAATATGGATTTCATGTTAAGTTTTTAAAGGAAGATTAATATTATTTGGGCACCATATAAAAGTAATAATTTTTGTGTATTTGAATGTAAAGATGGTGGTTTATATCAAGAAAATATAGAGAAAGAGTTTAATTTAAAAAAGATAATAAAGGGTTTATAGGTTTAAGTGGATTTCCAATTATTTATAATAAACTCAAAAATATGATATGTCTAAGACATGTGTGTCATATTTGTATACTTAAATTCGAAAATGATGGATAATTATCTATTGTTGAAGAATTAGATTGTCTTAATTGGGAAATATATGGAACTGTAACAAATAATGGACAATATTTAATATTTGGGGGAAGAAGAAGGACACTTATCAAGCATATGAAATATTATATTAATGATATTAATTAAATTTTAAAGTTATTCTTAATTTTTCATTATAAATTTTCCTAAATCTCAATAATATTTAATTTCTTAAATTATTGTAAAAAAGAAAAGTTCAAATTATAACACGGGATGAACTTTTTATATTAATAAAAAAACTTATTAAAAATAGTATTCATTTCGATTTAATGACTATTAAATTAGGAATTCTAGTTTTTGAAGGATATTCAGTAGTTCAAGTTTTTGTTAGCCAATTCAATAAATGAAGATATTTATTGAATTGTTGAACAACTTAAAAGTGTTATAGTAGAAAGGTTTTGAATTTTCACAAAAGGAAAGGTAAAGTAATATATTAAGAAATAATGTGGGCTTATAATTTTCTGCTCTATTTCTAGCTTATTAAGCATTTTTTATTTTCAGATGATTGAGTTTATGAATTTATTATTTGATTGCTAGCTAGGGTTTTTCCAATTCCAACTAAAATTAAAACAATCCTCTTTGCTTATTTATTCATTCTGCAGCATATTCAACAGTAATTTCTTTTTCTTAAGCTCTACTAATTTATTCTTAAAGTAGTGGATGAGTACTAAGATATATTTAAATTAAGTTCTTTGAATTTAGAACTGCTTATTCATATTAAGTAATTATTTATCTGATAAAAGATGTTCACTTGGATTATCATAATATATTTGATAAAAATAAGAAAAAAAAAATATTTTCATAATCTGAAATCAATAAAAAGTTTTTTTGCCAAATTCACAAGTTGGAAATTATAGTGGTAAATGATGATAGAATGGACATGGATGATTGCCCTTCAATATAAAAAAAATGATTATTAATAAATCATAATCATTTAAATAAATATTCTGTTTTATTTAATTTATTTCTCCTTAGAAAATTATTTGAGATCTAGATAAATATTTTATAAGAAGTAAATTTAAATTATAAATAAAATTCAAGAAATCATTTGAACAGATTACATCAACTTTAGAATAAGATCATCGATATTTAAATAAAAAGATACAAGATCTGATTTTAAATTTTATTTATTTTATTTAAGAATAAAATAAATTA